AGCTTATTAGTCACAGTGAATAAAAGCCATGGACAGAACTCAAGAGACCTCCTTTTTTTTTTTGGTACCAGGAACTGAACTCAGGGCCTCACGCTTGCCAGCAGGTGTTGAGCCACATCCCTGGCCCTCTTGTGAGATATTAACTAAGTCTCCATCTTATACCAACCAGGTTGCCCACAAGTACAGCAATGACTTCAACCTCTCCCAGACTGCTTAGCTAGAAAGCAGGGAAGACCTCTCCCCACAAGCTATCACGCTTCTGCCCATGAACACTTTTGCATGACAGACACCTCCAAGCGGGGCAACTTGACGAGAATACTGAGCAATGACAGGGACAGGCAAGCAGGGACAAGAGTTTCTAGTTAGAGGCCCTCCTGATGGTTCATAAAAACATAGTGCTGAGGCTTCAGAAGGTTTCTTACAGCTCAGGAGTTTCCATTTTTAAAAAAACAAGTGACACAAAAATCCTGCCACAAATCAAGACACTTGGGATTCCATAGCCACACTGGCTGGAAAAGCAAGCATTATCCATGACTGACAGATGCCACCCAGCTTAAGACCCAATTCCTGTAGTGCCCTAGAGAATGCCCACTGTCCCTCAGGACCCACTCCACTCTCCCAGGGGTGTGGTATCTTCCATAGGCCAGGTTTCCACAGCAAGACCCAAGGACAAGGCTTGGCAGAGGCTGTGGCTGCCCTCTCCCGCTGGAGCCTCATCTCCATCCTTCTGAACAGGCAGCTGTACATCTTCCCTGACGCAGCGCATCTGTGGGTGCCTGGGCCAGCCTTAGGAAATGAAGTGGTTCTGTGGGGTGACCTGATGGACCCAGGGGTCTGCTGGGTTGGCCGATACTTCATAGTTGCAAATGGTCACCTCCTGTCGCCGAAGCTCAGTCCATTCTCCTCTCAGGCCAATATAGAAGACCTTTGTGGTATCTGCTCCGAAGTTTTTTGAAATATGAATGGACAGATGATAGACATTTGAAAAAGGAGAAATTTTTGTAGCATACTCTAACTCCCCTGTAACATCCCGGTTCAGACTAAAGGTCTGGTCTGGCTCTCTTTCTGTATCATCAAACGACATCTGTGGAATGTTCTTGTACAGTCTCATTTCAGAGGGGTGCGAGCCATCATCCTCTCCCATTATAATGATGCCTTTGAGCTTGACATTACCCGTAAATGGAATATTAAACAGAAGCTCTTCATCTGCATCACTTTCAACAAACTTGGAGCGGTCGGTCCGCTCCTCCCATGGCTTGAAGACGCTGTGGCCGCTGCCCTCGCGGCTCTCGTTGCAGCTACAGGCCGTAGGCCAGGCCGCGCTGCTCTGGCGGCTCCTCGCGTTCGGCTGCGCAGCGATAACCACCTCCACCGTGGCTGTGCCCGTGTGACATGGCAACGCTGCCACCCGAGCGTCCCTCTGGCACCGCCATGCCTCATTCGCTCCGCTCCGGCTGCCAAGCGCTGCGCCCGCCGCGTCGTAAAAGCACAGAATTGTTTATAAAATTCATTTCTTGCGAATTTTGGATCTTTTTTTAAAAATATTAATCACATAATTTGTACTCTTACTTTTTAACGTTAAAATTATAAAAAAATAATTCTATACCATTCAAAACATTCATTTATTGCATACATGATTTCAATACATAGCTCAGTCTGGCCTTGAGCTAACTATGTAACCCAGGCTCACTTTGAACTCATGACAATCCTCCTGTCTCAGCCTCCTGAGTACTGGGATTACAGGTGTATGCCATCACATCCAGCCCACAATCAATTTTAGAAAATTCCAACACTTCCCAAAAGAAAAGTATACCCATTAGCAGTCATGCTCTATTTCTCCAAACTTTCTCAGTCCTAGGCAACCACCCACCAGTCCTTTCTCTTTCTTTCTCTTTCTTTCTTTCTTTCTTTCTTTCTTTCTTTCTTTCTTTCTTTCTTTCTTTCTTTCTTTCTTTCTTTTCCTTCTCTTCTCTTCCCCCTTTCTTCCTTTTTTAAAATGCACTGAACTGTATCGCTAGCCCCTTTTTTTATTTGAGACAGGATCTCCGTAAGTTGTCCAGGCTGAATTTGGAATTGCATTTCTCCCTCCTCAATCTCCAAGAGTGCTCGATCACATTCACCACTGCTCTCAGCCCATATACTTTCTGCCTCGATAGATTCTTTTGTTTTATGTATTTATTTATTTATTTATTTATTTTTGGTATTTGGTACAGGGTCTTCACTACGCAACTCAGACTAGTAGTGATCCTCCTGTTTTCAGCCTCCCCAGTGCTGAGATTACAGGCGTTCTTCACAGCACCCAGTCTTGGTGGCTGGCTTGGCACACCAGAGGCGGGACTTGAATGGCATGTGGAACCAGGGATCAAACCCAGATCCTTGTGCTTGCCTAAGCAGGTGCTTAGACCACTGAGCTATCTCTGTGGCTCTGCCTCTATAGATTCTAAACATTTCATGTGATAGAATCATACAGTGTGCTCTTTTATGAATGACTTCTTTCATTTATTATATTTCGAAGTTCATTTATGTTGCAAAGGCATCAGTAGTTCAAATTCCATTATATGGATATATCACATTTTGTTTACCTAATTAGAGTTGTTCCTGCTTTTTGGCTATTATAAATAATGCCGTTATGAGCATTGTATACATGTTATACATGTTTTTATTTCCCTAAATATAACCTAAGAGTAGAATTGTGGTGTTATATGGTAGGTAACTATATATTTAGGCTTTGAGACACTGACAGACTGTACAATGTCTGCACCTTTTCTATTACCAGCAGAGATCACCAATGCTCCAATGTCTCCACCTTATCACCAATGTCTGTTATTATCTGTCTTTTTTATTATAGTGGGTGTGGAGTTGTATCATATTGTGGTTTTGATGTGCATTGTCTTCATGATTAATGCTTTTGAGCATCTTGTGTTTATTGAACATTTGCTATGGTTTGTGTCTAGTTGTCCCTCCAAAGTCTTATGCAGTCATGGGGTGGGGACTTCTAGAATTTGAAATTAACTCATGATCCACTAGGATTATAGGTCTTAGTACTGCTGAGATTATGGGTGGAATGCTACACCCAACCGGGGGCAGAAAGCCTGAATGCAGTATAAGACTCTCTCTGTGTTGCCATTGTTGTTGTTCCACCACCATGAACTGGATGCTCTCTGTCCTGTGCCACTTTGGAGCCAGCCAAGTATGGACTGAAGCCTCCAGTATCTGTGAACTAAATAAACTTTTCCTTCTTTCATTTTGGGTGTCGGGTATTTGTTTCAGCAACAAGAAAAGAGTAACTGAGACAACATTTCTTTATTTGGATTTTCTTTGGAGAAATGTCTGTTCAGTTTGTTTCCGTATTTTTAAAAAATTCATTAGTCCTCTTATTGCAGTATCAGGCAGAGGCACCAGAACGACAGGATCTGGAGGTAGATTAATTTATGTCAGTGGGTCCTGATTGGAATCATTCCCAGAATATCTGGTGGTCTAGGACTTATATGGGATAAGCAAGCAGGAAGTAGAGAGGCAGAATGACTTGTCAATTGGGGATTATTTTATACCATGTGCATCATGGAGACCAGCTATGCATCCAAGTGACCAGACTTTTCTAAGAAACAGAAGCAACCGGAACTGAAACAGGAATTGTTCCCTGGACAACTAAGAAGCTGATGTGTATTGGCAGCAGGGGGTAAGAGGTGGGATGTGAGTAGGGGTGGGGCATTTTCTGTTACATTGTTACTGAATTGTAATTGTTCTTTGTGTGTTTCAGGTACAAATCCCTTATCAGATATATAATTTACAAAGCCTCAGACTCCTGAGTGCTGGAATTAGTCCTGTACCACCATGCCCAGACTTGGTATCCATTATTGAAGAGATAATTCCTTGGCTGTGAGTATAGCTCAGTGATAAAGTGCTTGCTTAGCATGCAAAGAGGTCCTGAGTTGACACCCAGTACCACAAGAAGGGCAGGAGCAAAGATGATTCTTGCCTTCATTGAATGCTTTGGGGACCCTTGTCAAAACTCACTTAACCCTCTACCAGTCTTGGTGACACATAATCCCAGCACGTGGGAGGCTGAAGTGGAGGGTCACCATGAGTTTAAGGCCAGCCTGAGCTACATAGTGAGACCTTATCTCAGAAAACAAACAAACAAACAAAAAACAAAGCAAAAAACCTCACTTGACCCTAAGCATTTATTTCTAAAATCAATCCTATTTATTTATTTGCAGTACCAGGGATTGAACTCAGGACCTTGAGCTTGCCAGGCAAGTGCTTATTCTGTTGAGCTATCTCCGTGGCCCAATCCTATTCATTTTAACTATATCTATCTATCCTTTTTTTAGTAAGTCACTCAAGCTATGCTTGAACTTGTGATCCTTCTGCCTCCCTCCCTACAAGGGTGTACCACTATGCTGAACTGGAATTTTGCTATTTCTACTGTTGCTGGTGGTGATGGTGGTAGTGGTGGTGATGGTTTGTTTGTTTTTCTGCAAGGCTGGGGAATCAAAACCAGGGTAACATACTATGGGATGACTTTTTATTAATAACTTTATTCCATCTACTTGCTATACATCTATTTAGTCTTCCATTTCTTCAGCCAGTTTCAGTCTTTTTAGCAATGTGTCCACTTTATCTACTTACTTTACTCTGTGGGCATGCCTTTTTTCATAGCATTGCCTTTTGAGCCTTTAAAAAAAGGTCTGCAAGGTTGGTAGTAGATTTCCCCTCTTTCATTCCTTTTAGTGATTTTGGTTTTCTCTTTTATTAGTCTGTATAGCTCAATGTGTTAATTCTGTTAATTTATTGAAAGATCTACTATTTTAGGTTTTTTTACTTTCCCTATTTTTTTTTATTCTTTTTTTTTCTGCTCTGGTTTTTATTATTTCCCCTTTCTACTTGTTTTGGGATTACTTTGCTTTTCTTGTTTTTAGTTTCTTGTGATGGAAGTTCAGATTGTTGATTTAAGATTTTTATCTTCTTTTATGTTTTATTTTATTTTATGTTTTTCACGTCAGATGGGTAATGTGCCCACATGGTAACAAGGCTTGAGGGAGGGGCATCTCAAGCATACAGCATGAACACCCAATCATCATGCTTATGAACCAAAGGATTGTTCTTCTGTTTTAGGCAGATTTTTGCACTTCTATTTATTATTATTATTATTTGTGTGTGTGTGTGTGTGTGTGTGTGTGTGTGTGTGTGTGTGTGTGTGTTGATGTCTCATTATGTAGCACAGGCTGGCCTCAAACTCACAGCCCTCATCTTCCCTCAGGCTCCCCAGTCATTGGAATTACAGACACACAGTTATATATTATTATTAATCATAGTCACCATGCTATAAGTAGATCTCTAAAAGGTATTCATCTTTTTTTTTTGCTTTTATTTATTTTTTTATAACAATAAAATTCTTCATAGGAAAATTTGCATGGGTTTAGGTACACAATTTCTGTACAAGTATAGGCAGACATCATCAGATTTGT